ATTCCAATTTAACTGCAAATGTTAATTTAACTTGGACAGTTCGTTCGTGGATGTTGCGTAGTGTAAAAGCTTCTGCGCATTTCTACGCTGAATAATTGAAATTCGGCTTACAAATTGGAACCTTTACCAACGATCTTGCGTAACATGGAATAAATAAAAACAATTTATAAGCTTCTCGGAAAACGTAGATGCGGAGGAAAATTGTATGTCATGTAAATTACACTGGCTGCATTAGCTACAGTTTCGTTCATTTAAAGCTGCATGTAGATCCATAATGAAATCGTGCTGAAAAATTTGTCATGTTTCTACGCAATTCTAGAAACTTTAAACATTATTAAGTATTTAATCGTACAAATTAAAATAACAGATTTAAAATATTAAATTTAGAGTACTGAAAAGTCGAGAAGAAAGTGTGGGTGAAAATATACAAGTACATATACACATATAAAAATATAAATGGAAGTTGTTGAATGCAATTTTTTCATCCGAGACTATGTTTCTTGAAAAATCAAGTTAGGAAATTCATTTTATATATCATTCTTATGTTATATAATAATATTAATATTAAAATTCAACTTTCTCGGAAACTACTTTTTGAGCGAAACATTTTATTTCATATTTACCATTTATTTTTGCATAATATTCGCGCCGTGACTGCATGTACCATATATTTAAATGCACCCTGCACGATGTTTAATTAAAAAATTATTTAAAGAGTCCATTATATAGATTTTTTCTGTAGAAAATTTTTATATTGTAATTCAAAGAAGCATAGAAATGATACTTCACTAACGATTACGTCATATATGCATCCGTTGTTGATTTCTTACGCGGTTTTCCCTTCCGCTGAATATACAAGGAAATTTTGCTGCAAATAATTGGCTAGACATAAAGACATTGGATTCTCAATTGTATATATAAAGGCCAGTCATCACTTCTATCTGAAATAGTTGTAGCAGTTGCTCTTTAGATAAGTTTCAAGCGTTTGACAAGCAATTAGTTATTGAATCAAACATGAAACTTTTCCTTGTTCTCTGTGTCTTCGTTACGATCGCTTACGTGTCCGTACAAAGTGCTCCAACAGAACACCTCGACGATATGGCTAATAAGATTGGTAAGCAATAGACCTACATTGCTATATTAACACTTTAACGACCGCACGTCTACGCAGTCAAACGTCGCCAGGGGCCGGCAGTATTTTTGAAGAATTAATTTTAAAGAACTTTATTAAATTCACGAAAAAGTTAACATAAAACAAAAAACAAATAGGCAATAATTAAAAATAGGCAATAATTACCTATAATCAAAGACGTGACAATGAAATATGAAGCCAATAGCAATATCCACGCTTGTTTACATTCATAAATTATCACACAAAGAGTGTGGTACTGGCCAACAACCTTCGGCGGCAGCATCACACACATGTTGTGTGAGCGGTCGGTAACGGTTGTTCCGGCTATCACACACATGTTGTGTGAGCGGTCGTTAAAGTGTTAACGAAATTATTCATATCATAATAACATAGTTTTTATGACAATGAAAATGAGGCGAGCTCATATACAACCAGTGTAAAAAAAATATTCGTAAACATTTTTAAAACAGAATACCTTTTTGAAAATTACAGCGAACAACTCGAATTTTTTGAGATGTTATACGAACTAGTTTGCTGGAGGATAATTTACAAGGCGTAAATATGTATCTGTAAAAATTGCAGTAAATTATGTTTTTCAAGCTTTTTATTTGAACCTGCAACGAAAATATGAACAACGAGTTTCGAATGTTGCGTTAACTTAGGTGTATGCTGAAATAAATGCAAACCTTTCTAACCGGTTCTTTTGTGTAAGATTTCTTCTTCAAAATTTTATCGTTCCATGAATAAACATTTTAAACTGCAACACTAATATTTTTAGCAACATTTTCGAACTTCTGGATTAAACTAAGGGAAACGATTAGGCCAGAAGTGTTTGTTTTTCTCAAACGAAACTTTCAAGAAAATTCCAAAAATTTCAAATGCCATTAGAAGATTCAGAGTAGCATCCATATGTATGGCTACACGGCGAATGCTTATTTCGAAGACAAAATTGCGTGCTGGTCATTGAATACAGCACTGTTAATTGAACTAATTAAACGTTATACTGTTAGCTGAAGTGTTGCTTATCAATACGATATAACTAAATCTTCGATTCTTTTTTTTTTAGAATACAAGATAGTTATTTAAGCACGATAATAATTGGAGAATTCTTTTCAGAAACTTCCCGCGAGGGAGATGAACATGTTCGAGTAAGACGCAGAGCAAGGTGTGATGCTAATTGGTTTATTCGAACGATAAGTTCCGATGATTTCGGTTGTAACGTCGACTGCGTTGGTGAGAGAGATAAGCCAAATGGTATGAGGTGGTACGGTGGTAAATGCAAGGATCGCAGATGTGTTTGTTACAATTTGTAACAATTAGTATTATAATGAACGTCGCGTTATAAGCATCATTATGAATTGCCAGTCGCATTGTTGATGTCTATTCTCGGACAACGAAAACAGTGTAAACAATACCATAAACAAAATGATTGTGAATTTGCGGCCATTTTAAACATTTTTTGCAACAAGCACTTTTATTAACTTGTACAGTTAAGAAATATCGAAATTTTGCGAATTTTTGTGAGCACAAACGATCTTCAGAAATTCTGTAATAATCAACTTTCATAATTTAATGGTACGAATCTAGCCATGGAACGGTTATTTTGTGCTTCGACTGATATTAAGTATTGCGATTGCTTCAGAAATGCTTATTTGACGTAAACAAGTACGTAAGTAGAAATAAAGTATTCCGAGTTGTCTCGAGGCTTTTATAGTGCTTTATTAAGGATCAAACTGTGTCTCATGAAATTCTCTCATATTGAAGACACACGGTCTTTATTCGTTCGAAGCATAACAAGAATTATACGAACACGTATCAATAGAGTTGGTCATAATGATTGTAACATGTAATATCGAGTGGGTAACGCGAAATAATATTTTGGTATACGAAACTCCATGTTCAAGAGAGTTAGTTTGAAATACAGCCGTTTTAACGTAACATGTGTGTTGTTATCGTAGAATATAGCAGAGTCGATGAAAAGAAAATATTGCCTTTACGTGTAGTAGTAGACATATATTTACGAACACGGACGTTCTACACCTTTCATTGTAATTTATGCTTCAATAAAAGAAGATAAGATATTCCTAGATGATATAATTCTTTATGCGTATCCTCGTCCACTTTCCGGAAATCCAAAATTATGAACGCAATTTACAAACAATAATCAATTTTTAGATATTTTCATGATTCAAAATTCATATTTTGGTATTCTTTAATAATTTTAATAACTTCTTATTCTTAAATAACTTCTTCAAAAATTGGACCATGTGAATTGAATTTATTTGAGATTTTATACTGACTAGTTTACTAAACAATGAGTAAAAATATTTTTGCAAAACTTACAATTGGTTGGAATGAAAAAAGATTCAATCAAAATTGCTTAACGTTCTTATGAGCTAGAAACAATTGAAAATAGATGAAATCACAGTATTTCATGACTGTAAGAAACATGTAAGTAACTGTAAGAAATCTGAAGATTTTTATATCTTTCAATACCTGTAGCTTGTTCCTGTGTCGATCAATTTTAATGCAATTTTTTGCTAAGATTTACAAAATACATTGTTTAAACTTTTCGTTGTAGGCTCAGATGAAAAAGTTGAGAACATATCATTATTCTATATCTCTTGTCATCCAACTCGTCCATTAAAAAAAATTCGAGATATTTGTCCTAGTTTTTTAAGAGTTATTGCATTTTAAGAAATGTCATTATCCATGTATGTCTTTGTTAATTTTTCGAGTAGCTTTTTCTTCCGCCGATTATGCAAGGAGATTCTGCGACAACGAAGTGACTAGTGTTAAAAACTAGTAGATTCTAGATAAGTATATAAAGGTCTGTCGTCACTTTTGAATATAATAGATACAACAGTTACTTCTAGGTCAGTTACAAACGTTCGACTAACAAAGCTATTTGATGAAACATGAAACTTTCGTCGCACTTTGTATCTTCGTTACGATCGTCTACGTGTTCGTAGAAGCAACTCGTGTAAAGGACTCCGCTACCATACATGCTGCTTTAAGTAAGTAATAAATGAAGCAAAAAATTGCTGCATCGATGAAACACTTTATTCTCTTCTTCAAAGTTTCTCTATTCCATCAATGAATATTTCAAACTGCATTACATATATTTTCGGCAGCATTTTGCAACTTCACGATTAAACTGAAGGAAACGAACATGTCGGAAGTGTTTGATACACTCGCACGAAACTTCCCAAAAATATTCTAAAAATTTTAGATGCCATTAGAAGATCCAGAGCTGTATGATTATGTAGTTAGTTTCAAGATAAATGTACTTGTTGCATATAACAGAGCGCTAAACGTAATATGTACTGTTATGTTAGCTGAAAACAAACGTATCAATCCTATATGACCAAATTGAAATATTTTTTAAGAATACCAGATGATTATTGAAGTATGATAGTAATTATAGAATTCTTCTCAGATCATATTCTGAAGCGCGAAGCTGGATATGACGAAATGGAAGCACCTTCAAGGATTGGAGATGAATATGTTCGAGAAGTAGGCGGGAAGAGTTGCGGAGGAGATTGGTTTTCTCGAACAGTAGGTTTCGATAATCTCAATTGCTATGCCGACTGCATTACGAGAAGACCAAATCGCGATGGTAGATGCGTGAATGGACAATGTGTTTGCTTCTGAGTGTCTTTTCGAAACAATTTTCCCATCTTATTATGAATTTCTGCATTTCCATTGGACATTCTATGTATATATGTATAGTTATTGTTACAGCTACAATACTATAAACAATTTGCATCCAAATTCGCGGTTGTTATATTTATTATTTGATACATAAATCGTTTGTAGTTATTACTACCAGAAATGCATCTTTATATCTTTATTTCTGTTCATTTCTACATCAAGATTAATTATTAATTCATACAATTATAAGATTTATAAATTTTGCGAATTTCCGAACGAATGAAAAGGATATCTGAAATATCGTTGCGTGTACCAATACTCGGGGGTTAACGTGTCAGAGTGAATATGTTAACAAAAGTAACATCAAACATTAATAACGTTGTATGTATGATCCTCAATATCACAGAAGCTAAAGCTCCCACAAAAATATGCCAAAGGCAAATATATTTATATTATATAAATATAATATTGTCCCTTTGAAACAAAGCAACATTGTCTGCAACTATTTTTTCCTATTGTTAAAGACAAACGAATTATTCGGGCGAACAGTTTTAAATGCCCCACCCTGTATATTTCTATATCCTCGTAGGGCATTTGTAAACAAATTCAACAACCTTAATAATCACAATGATCATAACATTTAATATTGATATATTTTGCTTTAAAATGTAATAAAATATATTCAAAAAAAAACACAAGATTTCTTCAGTATCACAATTGCGTAAAAAGTTTAAACAATGAATAAAGTATTATCTTATTTAGAATTTGCAATTAGTATCGACAATATAAGAAATATTACGAGCGATCAACATAAAACATGAAGATATTCAGTTTTTTGTTAAGAAAATTATGCATGCGCGATAGTAGCGTTGATAAATCGTACTATTGCTGTGCATTTGTGTCGCGTTTATCACGAATTTGTACGGAAAAAGGAAACCTACGCGCGACGCGTATTTCTTCAGTTTTTTAATTTAGATACATACTTGCACGGAAATGATATTTTGATTAGCGTTGCATCGCATCTTTATCAGTTGTTTTTCTAAGTGGGTTTTCCTGCCGCTGTATATGCAAGGAAATTCTGCGGCAAGGATGTGGTTGGTAATGCATAATATCACTCTCAAAATATGTATAAAAGAGTCAGTCACCACTTTTCTTTTGAATAAGCACAGTAGTTGCACTTAGGTCAGTTTCAAACGTTTCATAAGCGACTTGTCATTTGATCAAACATGAAACTTTTCGTCGCTCTATTCATCTTCGTTACGGTCGTCTATGTGTCCGTAGAAAGTGCTCCATCAGACTTCGCTGCCATACATGCTACGATAAGTAAGTAATAAAGTTACATTGTTACATCAATGAAACACTTTATTCACAGAATAATAACATTCCTTTTATGACCGTCGACAAAAATCAATTAGCCTTAGTAGTAGAAACAATATACGGTTAGCGAAAAAAAATCGCTGTACCTTCTAAAACGCAATAGCTTTTTTTAGAATTGGAACAAACAATTTGAATTTTGTTGGTATGATAGACAAACTAGTTTACTAGACGTCGTGTCAAATTTCTACAGAAATTGAAGATTGGGTATAATGATAGGAGTAATTTACAAAAATACATTTTCAAAGTTTTTGCAACGAAACAAATGCAAACATTTCTCACCTGTTCTTTTGTGCAAGATTTCTCTTCTTCAAAGTTTTCCTATTCTATAAATGAAGATTTCAAACTGCAACACGAATACATTTGGCGATCTTCTCCAATTTCTCGATTAAAATGAAGGAAACGATTAGAACAAAAGTGTTTGCTTTTCTGAAACGAAATTTTCACGAAAATTCGAAAGATTTCAAATTCAATCAGAAGATTCAAAGTAACGCGCGTGTGCGATCCAACGTAATCAAATAGGAACAGTTTTAACGAGCGCAAAGTAGTTATTTAACTATGATAATAACTGTAGAATTCTTTTTAGAGCATATTCTGAAGCGTGAAGCTGGATATGACGACATGGCAACACTTTCCAGTGTTGGTGATGAACATGTTCGAGTAGCACGCAGGGCTAGATGCGATGCGAATTGGTTTATTCGAATGATAAGTTCCGATGAATTTGGTTGCAATGCCGATTGCATCGGTGAGAGATATAAGGCATCTCGTATTAGATGGAACGGTGGTAAATGTAAGGATCGCAGATGCGTTTGTTACTAAACGTTTCATCGAAACAGTCCTAGGATATTACTACGAACTCCTGCTTTTCCATTCGACATTCTATGCTTACTGTTACCGGTCACGTCGCTGATGTCTATTCTCAACCAATGAAAACAGTATATCTAATACCATAAATAATTTGCATCTGAAATTGTGGTTCTTTTAAATATTCTTTACAACACAAATCCTTCGCACCTATTATTGTCAATTAGTATTACTCTACATTAGGAACATATCTTTGAAGCCTCATTTCTGTTCATTTCTAGCCCAAGCACTTTCATTAATTTATACATTTACAATGTTTCTAACTTTTATAAATTGTTGTACGTGCGAACTATTTCTAATCAGTCTATTACCGTTAATTTCCTCAACTTATTGGCGACATAATATTAAGACGAAAAGGAAGAAATTGGAGAAATGTGTATTGTAGTTGTGAATCTTCTGCAAAAATAAATGTTTCTTGCTACTCCTGACCAATGTTTATGAGCCATGGTAGATGAAAGTCTGAGTTTTCGATTTTTAGCACTGTGCGTTGATTTCTTACTTTTAATTGATTACGTTACAACTGTCTTGTAATCGTTCCTACTTTAATTTAGATATCATTATTTACACTTATTTCTGCTGTAATATCAGTTGCAAAACAAAAACGATCTCTTGTGTGTAAACGATGGATGCGATGACTCATTTTTTCGATTGTTTTTCGTAGTCCGCCATTTATTAGTTCATCACAATTATTATTAGTCTTTACTAAAGAGGGTGGTAAAAATAAGCCGGTTTTGAATATTGCTGTCAACGAAAAATTTTACCTAAAGAGTATGAAATACACAATTAATTAATTATTATTAATTATATTATAAATAAAAGTAAACTTGGAAATATTGATGTCTGTAATATTCGCATATTTTCGTATTATTTTCTTTCCTGTAAGTTGATTTATCATTAGAATAATCATTATAAATAATAAAAGATGAATTCTTCGTATTCAAGGGTTAAGCGTATTATGAAAATTATAAAATTATGGTCATGTAAGAGTAAGGATCAACCTATGATGATGTACCATTATTACATCATTATAAGGAGCAATTTGTGAACGTTTGAGTGAAAGGTAATATTGTCTAGTATTAAAATATTTAAAAATATACATATTTAGAGGAATTCGTCATAATGAATTCCAAGATTTTCTCTTATTTTTATGCTTGATGAATGAACTTGAATCAGCCAAAGGCACACTACATATAGATTTCGTCGATATTTGTATAGAAAAATGACAAACGAATTCGTAAAGTATTTCTCGGTAGACAGATTGTCGCAAATAAATTTCCGTCGTCCATAGTAGTTAGTAGACGGAAACATAAAAACATCTTGTATCTTTCTTAAATTTCGCAGCCCTATGTTTGAAATTAAGAAAGTGAAACATGCAGCTGTAGATTTCGAAACAAAGCGAGCTAAATAAATACGCAACAGTAATATAATAAGCGAATATGAAATGAAATTAAAATCCATCGTCTGAAAATGACCGCTGCTGCAGCCATGAAAAGATTATTTCGTGGTTCGACTGATATCAAGTATTGCGACTGCTTCAGAAAAAAGGAGCTGCGGAGCAAAAATGTGTATTGTGTAAATGTATATTGTTTTGTGTGGGAAATGCATTGACTGCATTTGTTTCGATTTCGTTCATTCAAAGCTGCACATAAATTCGTAATGGAATCACGTTGAAAAATCTTTTGCATTTTCATAAAACGTAAAATGTAACAATTGTACAGCTAATTATAATGAATCAACAGTATGCGGTTCAGCAGATCGCGACTTCAGTTGATCTAAAGTAACAAGTTATAAATTATTGAAATGTCAAGAAAAAGTTGGAAAAAAATACATAAAATACAGAATAAAAATAAAATAAATGGAGAATGTTGAAAACGTTTGCTTATCCGAGACTTTATTTCTTGCAAAATCAAGTTAGCAAATTGATTGCCTGTAGCATTCTTACGTTACGTAGTATTACTAATATTGGAATTCAGTTTATTTTTAAACTAAATCTTGAACGAAACATTTTATTGTACACTTATCATTTATATTTGCGCAGGAAATCACTTAATTCAGAGCTAATTACCAAAAAGAGATTTTTGTTTGATAAATATTTGTACAGTGATTCAAAGACTTGCATTGTAATGATTAAACTGCAAAACTTTATGCAGAATGAAAGTCGCGTAAATTAATTCTAAGAATCTTATGCCTGGTGAAAATGTCTTCTATAAAATATTCTCAAATTCTTTTAATGCCTTTGTGCAGAGTTTTGTATTCGACTTAATTATTTTTGTCGTAAATGCATAAATAACGCGAACTAGTAATGATGTTTTAATTATCATTATGTATCTGTTTATTTCTCTAGCGGTTATTACTTCCGCTGAATGTACAAGGAAATTCGGCGACAAGGAAATTGATAACAAAAAATATCACACTTCAAAAATTTAGTATATAATGGTCATTCGTCGCTTTTATCTTGAATAGGCACAGCAGTTGCTTTCAGTTCAGTTCGAAACGATTGACAAGGGAATTAATATATTTGATCGAACATGAAACTTTTCGTTGTTTTTTGTATCTTCGTTACGATCGCCTACGTGTGCGCAGAAAGAGATCCACGAGAAGCCCTCGATGACATGACTGAATGGATAAGTGAGTAACAGAACAACATTGCTACATCAATGAAAAAATTAATTTCTACGATAGTACCATTGTTTTTATGACCGTTAACAAAAATCAATTGGCGTGTAGTAGAAATTGAGATATTTCGGAGAACAGAGATTCTGTGGACGTAATTGAATATGCAGAACTAAATTCTTTATAAAACTTTAGTAACGTGTATATTTCTTTTCTCAATCGTAACTTTGAAGAAAATTTCAAGAAATTTCAAATTCCAATAGAGAATTTACAGTACCATGCATATGAACAGAAGAAAGGTTCATTTTTAAGATAAAATTGCGTTTCGGGCATAACGCAGCGTTGAACGTTATTCTTATGATATAATCGATATAATAACCGGTACGATCAAATCGACATATTGATTCTCTTTGTTAAGAATACAGCATAATTATTTAAATATGATAGAAACCGAGAAATTCGTTTCGGAGGGTATTCTGAAGCACGCTGTTGGGAACGGCGACATGACAGGACCTGTCGGTGCACGGGAAGCACATAGCCGACAACGCAGAAATGTGTGCCAGAGAAATTGGTTTCTGAGAATGCTCTACGGGGATAATTTTGCTTGCAAAGCCAACTGCTTGGATGACAAATCATACGGTACTACATGGCGAGGTGGTAAATGCTTGAATCGAAGATGTGTCTGTTACTGAACGTTTCGTTGAAATAGCTCCCCGATATTATCAAAAATCCCAGCTATTCCAGTAGATGTTTCCTATAACTGTTCACATCCTTGATATTTATTTTCGACGAAAGAAGTGTGTACCTAATACAATAAACAATTTGCAGTTGTAGTTGTTTTAAATATTCTGCATAACATATGTCCTTTGTAGCTGTTACTATCATTTCCGAAAATAATATCTTGGCAGATGCGAGTCTTACTTTTCGATTTTTGGTATTTTGTGTTCGATTCTTACTCGTAATCGATAATTGCAACTGTCTTGTAACTATTCCTGCATTGATTTGCATATCGTTGTTTAAATTCATTTCTGCTGTGATGTCAGTTGCAAAACAAATACGATCCTTCCAACGCGAACGCTCGATGCAACGATTCATTTCTTTGGTTGGATTTTGTCGTCTGCACTAGGTTTTCAGTTGATCAGAATAAAAGCTAGTCTTTAAAAATATGTACCATGTTTTTTCAAGATCTGTTAACAACAGTAGTTGGTACTTCATTTGATTATGTAGTCCTACGACTTGTTCCCTTTTGTTAAGTAATAAGTTGCATGATTTATCCTTGCTTTTATGCTCGATTTATGAACTTGAATCAACCAAAAGCAGATTAAGCACTATGTTTTTAGCAGATTAAGAAACGAAACAAATTAAATAAATAAGCAACAGTGTTGCACGATAAGCGTTTAACTGAAATTAAAATCTGTCGCCTTAAATTTATAAACGCTATCGTTCGACTGGTATCAAGTATTGCGATTGCTTTAGAAACGTTTATTCGACGTAAACATGTGCTGTACGTAACTGGAAATAAAGTGTTCCCAGTTGTTTCGAGGCTTTTATAGTCCTTTATTAAGAATCAAATTGAGTCCCATGAAATTCTCTTATATCGAATACGAACGGTCTTTATTCGTTGAAGCATAACAAGAATCGTACGAACACGTATCAAAAGAGTTGGCCATGTTACGACATGGTCGTAATATGAAACGTTAAGGAAGCAGACGTGACTCCATAGATATGCAGAATAATATTTTTATGTACGAAACTCCGTGTTCCGTAGAATTAATTTGGAATTTCAAGGCGCCCGCTTACGGTGGAATAGTATTTTCTCCTCTCTAAATACAGCAATAATGTAACATGTATTGTTATCGTCGAATACAGTCGAGTTGATGGAATGAAAATATTTCCCTTCCATAAAGTAGTGGACATATACCCCTGACAACCAAGTAGTGGACAACACAACCCCTGAATATGAGTACATATGACAATATGTACTTGGCCAGAAGCAGTGGCAATGAATTAATTTTATAAAACGAAATTGTTTGCGCCTCAAATGCTATATATACGACAAAAATATAAATTGGACGTGTGTATATTGAGTAAATACGCGCCACATAATTCATGTTTTAGTTTATTTTCCTGAAAAGTACGGTGAAGAAAGAAAACGATACGAGGGAAAATGTATCCAATAACTGAAAAGAATTCTACTTATTTGTTCTAATTTTTGAATAAGTTATTGCGTTTTAAGAGTATTATCGTTACCCGCTTTACGGGGTAACTCTTAACCCCATCAAGAGTATTATCGTTATCTTTATTAAGCTTTCCTGTGTAATGATAATGTGTATGTATACAGACTTCACATTTCGTATTAGCTTATGGAATGGATAGGAAGATCGGGTCGATAGTACTCATCGTACGAATCCAACTTCTTTGCCCATATTGTGCTTTCAACATGGAGTCCACGTGTAATCCAAGGACTGACCGAGAATCGACCGAATAAATTTTCATTTTCCCGCTTATTCACCTGTCTGACGGCCGGAGATAACAAAGTTAAATTAAGTACGCGAGTACGGATCTACTTTCCGCTTCTCCCCAGTGCAACCTTCCTTTTACCACTACCCAGTTAAGATCATCTATTCCCTTGTTATGCTTCCACGATTTTGCATTGCCAGACCTCTAATGATACTTTAAACTAACAGCACAGTGTCCGACAGAATTTAAAAAGTCGCAATATCTATTAAAATTCCGGATGATTCGGGTCTCTATGAATATATTTTTTGACATCATTATATGCAAATCAACATCGATAGCCTTGAAAAATCTACTTTTTGTACCATATTCGTTTCTTGGTCAAATTTCATGTAAAATGTTTTTGTAATATTGCTATTGAAGGAGATATTTAAGTGGCAATGTTTAGCTGCACCATCCTGTACATCTGTAACCAGCCACATTATTGATATTTCATGGTGAAAGAAAAGTGTAATTAGTACTATAAACAATTTTCAGGCGAATTTGTGGTTATGATGTTTGTTTCTTTTGTGCATTGTGCGTCACATTGTGCAACATTGTGGTTAATTAAATGTATACTGCTTTCAGTGTGCAACTTGCCGCACATGAATTCCTTGACAGAAAAAATATCACTTGCGACATTTACTTACCATGTAAAGGACAAGAATTTTGTTCACGATTATTTTTTACGAGAAATCAAGATCACCGATATTATTTTCTTTTTGGAACTCTATATATTTTTTGACGTTCTTGTTGAACATTATAAATCAAATTCAACAACCTTAATCAAATTATTAGGGCACTCTTAACGATGAATTTCTATTAAAAAAATTTCAATTACGATAAATTATAAATTTAAGCTTAACAGATTTTTAATAGATTAAATATTAATTTTAAATTATAATAGATTTCTAGTAAAAATCTAAATTGTAATTTCAGATAGGAGTGAAATTAATAGTAGTAGATTCCTACATAAAATTTAATTACAAAGAATTTTTATCATAAATTTGAATTATAATAAATTAATTATAAGAGATTTAAATTAATTGATTCTAAATAGGAGTGATGTCAATTATAACGAATTTTCATTATAATTTTGAATTATAATATATTTTTAATAAAAGTTTAAATTTTAGTAGATCTTTGGAAAACAATTGAAATTACTCAAAGAGAAATATAACATTTTTTCAGTATCACTATTATCAAGATTATATACAGTACACGAAGTATTATTTCACAACTTATGGACTTTACACACTTTCACAAGTATGGACTTTATAACATATACTACGAACGATCGATGTAAGAAATGAAGTTTTTGAGTTTTTTGCTAGAAAAACTACGTATGTATGCACATGATTCAGTATGGTATACGAAGAACCACTCAATTTTTGGGAAAATATTTTTTTTGTGTCCTTACTCGCTTTCGGGTTAGTACTTTGGGGATCGAAGTTTGAAGGGTGGTTTTATCCCTCCAAATTGACTTCACGCAGCTAACAAAAATATGTATGTATTATTGTTAGCTGTTCTACAAGTCTATACAGTTTCATCAAAATCAGAGTCTGACAGTTCGTGACCTTTACTTGTAAGACAACTGAACCCACTTTCGATTATTATGTACTCTTCTTCGCAGGCGCATGCATTTGTGATTCGACTCCTACGGAAGTTATAATTAGACTGCGGATTTTCATCCAAAATAAAGATTATCTCCATTAATTGTAAGATACAGGATCTACCTAGATATTTAATTTTGTTTTTAATAATCAGCCGAAAATAATGTAACAGCATTTTGAAATTTTTGAAATATTTATTGTCTTATATCTAGTCTCCACATTTTTTCATAAATACATAAAACCAGTAGTCTAGTTATAATAATATTTCTTAAAAAAATATTACTAGTAAATCGTAAATTTCGCTAACAAGGAAAATTCGATAGCTCAAAACATTCGATTCTTCGCTACACCTTGATTAGGTTATGTAAGTATCAAATAATTGTCTCTTTATCATATTGTGTTCTCATGTTCGAAAAAAACCGTGAAATATTTAAATTAAATATTTAATCTTATTTGGATTAAAAATTTTTAACAATTTCATTCGGTCTTTGTACATAGCATTCAAAAACATCCAATTTTTATTTTAACAATTTTTTATAGTCACTTCTATTGTTTCCTAAGATTTTTAAGATGTGGAAAAAGGAAAGAAATCTCAAAGAAGCACTTTAAATCGCGTTGGTAAAGAGATCAAATAATTATTTCAAGGTTTCTCCAAATTGATAAAGTTTTTATACGTCAAAATATTTAGCTCACCTGTACTTTATTCTATGAAGGAGTACCGTTTAAGTTTCCATTCGAAAGAAATGACAATTTGTTTTCTTCCATAAATTGTAAAATGTCGCTTTTAAGTGCAGAATATGAATTTCGAATTTAATTTTTGAATTAATGATAATTACAATCGCGCAGAAATAGATTTACGAAATTAATCTGAAATTCGCATGTGCGCACATCGGCTGGAGATCACGGAAACGTTCATATTACGCTAACAGTTATTGCGTACGTTTAACGTTTCATATCCATTCTGCATGAAGCTGCAGGCTGTTTGATGGGATGACACGTCATAATCACTTACTTAGTCACTTCAATGAAATTCTAACGACACAATTCGCTCGTACAAGGACGTTTTAAGGAATTCGTTCGCATAATAATATTTCTTTATACGTTTAGAGGTCGATATTGCTGCAAAAAGATTCTGATATATAGTTGTTCCTTACATCGTTTCATTTTGGATATCACAACACTCGTAAAAATAATAAGAAATCTCGATAATTATAAGGATAGAAGCTTGGTTTTGTATTTATTTTACAAAACAATATATTTCTAGCTTCATGTTTTCTACATTTTTATATCAGCAACACTATATGTGAAATAACCATTTATTTGTAATCAACACCTTCAGAAATTAAAGCGTAACGGAAGAAATGTACAACTTAAACAAAGACATCAAAGTCTCATGTAGACAAACCTCTAAGATATTATTAATAAAAAATAGTATGTCACAAGGTACAGTTAAAAACATTTGAGATTTCTTACATAATTCTGGATTAAGTCTGTCGTAAAATGTCTTACGTAAAATTGCATTTATCATCAATAATATTATTTCACATACATTTTCTGTAATACTGTCTTTATGTGTTCTTGCTGTACAAAGATCTGCATCCTCACACTAGAATATAAACTTCTCTGTAAATTATTTTACTGACACAGTTTTCAATTTATTTTTTATTCTCTTTACTTTTTCTCAAAAAATTTCTAATACATAAAACATAATTAAATGTGTTCCCAGTACGAGAGTGTATATTACTAATCCTCCGAAACGTGAATGTGTAATATAAAAATTTATCGACAAAGCTTTTAGTACTCGACAATGGCCACGAGATGTTGGTAACTGCACAGAAAAACACAACGAACAGTGTCGAACAAGTGGAAGGAGGGCATACGATACAAAAACTCTGATCATATTTAGTTGTTCAGCTTCAGTATCGCTTTGTGCCTCCGAGCTTTATTTCACGACAAAAAGAATATTATTTTTCCGTTATTTATTTTTACGTAAAATTGATACACGTCAGCACAAAAAATGATATTTACATCTAATTATGTGTTTACAGTTGATAAAAACACTTTCTCATTATTGGATTAATATTTAATTTCTCCAAGAACGTATATTATATAGAGTAGCTGATCCTTTTATTACTATATTGAGCATTATTTTTGCATTATTTTTACATGGACTGTAATATACGCTCTTACATTTCCATGTATTTACACACATTTAATTAACATTTTACGAATTCGTCAAATTATCATTAAACTGTAGAGTTTTGTGCGAAATACAAACTCTCTGCACCAATTGCAAGATATACTGTGCAAGACTCGTTAATAATTTTAATGAGTTGCCGGGAATGCAACAGTATTTATGGATTCTTTAATTGTCTACCGATCCGCGTTTGAACCACCCATTTCTGTTATAAATGCATAAAATTTGCAGTCTAGTTATTCTTTTTAAAATGACAAAATCCCGTTAATACATTATGGTTCTGCAAGATTTATCGCGCTGCGTTTCCAACCAGCAATAGTGAGCTAAATATGCCAAGACGAAATCGCAACATTAGCATACATACATACATAGCTCTTTTCATAATACATGAGGATACTTTTGGAGGGTCAATTCTACGTACTGAATAGACGAAGGAAGTTTCTACGTTCGATATGATTGAAATATTTAGTCACAATATTTTCCACACCACGCAAGAAGCCGCAGAAACCGCTACCGAAGAGCAACAACCTAAAATACATTTCCAAGCCTGCAGCTTGGCTTTGATCTCCAACCCCACCCACTATTTCACACATAAAGGTCAAGATACACCTACAAGGGATCGTTTGAAAAACTTTCCTCTCTTTGTAATAAGTTTTCAAAGTGTATCTTTCTTTGCTCAATCGTCGGCTTGCCGGGGGTCGTGTAATATTATACGAAGGTTCTGTCTTTTCGTAGAACAAAACAATGTAAAACCATAAAATTACGTAGACGAAGAAGCAGAAGTGTTCTACCGGGAAAGGTAAACTTTTCAAATAATCTTTTGAGCTGAAACCTCGCGTACTCTTCTCCTGCTAAATATGAGTGAGTCAGCAGGTTAAAATATGCGTTTCTTGAGTGGTAGGAAGAACAATCTGAACGAAACAATAATGAAAGTTTTTCACTAGCTTTCAAGTTTCATAAAGTATAAACATTGTGTATAATTGCAAAACATGTTATTAGGCTACTGGAAAATTAATTAACAATCGAAGGAAACCGTACATATCATTTTCAACTGGCTATTGATCAATTATGTATAAATTTAATGCTCTCTGTTACACTATTCGAAAATATTTCACCAAGTTGCTGGATTTAGTGTAAACAGGAAACATGATATCTTCGTAAATTTAATATAATACAAATCACCAACCATTAATTTTTCGATTGTGGCGCGGAGCGGTTACGCGTTAGTTTACACAAAATTCGCTGCATAGTTATCGATTTTTCTTCGGACTTGTAAAATTTCAGCTCCTCGATCCGATGGTTTACAGGGCACTGAATGTTGAAGTTTTGGAAAATGGCACGGGCCGAGCCAACACGCAACCTTTCACCCTCGACATCTCCGTTCCGTGTCGCCAACGAACTTTCCCCGACGATCATTCTCAAGCTAACGTTTCGATACGTTTTGTACAAGCTGAGTCGTTCAACTGTGCCACCTAAATTCACTCCTGCACCATTTATTAATATTTTGGCAGTCAGCTGTTTTACCGAAGTATGAAGAGGCTACCTTGAACTACCGTGTCACGATGTGCACTGTTCGATATTTTTGACCAATTTCAATGAACTCTCAAAGAGAATTCACGATTGAAAAGTGTCAGTTGAATTTCCACGGGTTCTGTCACAAGAATCATTCAGACTGGATACGAAACGCTTGAATCTGTTTTATTGCGCGCGATTTTACAGAGCAATGACGTCACAGATCCTACCCTGTCAGCCATAATATCTTGCAACAGCTCGTTTGAAGGTTTTTAAACATTTTCGCTGCCTGCACCTTCGCTGTCACTTCGCTCTGACGCATCGAAAATCCTTCTTGTTACATATTTTTCAAGTCCTGCAATTCTCTTCTCGACGTAGCACACACGCTCCACTGTAATCTGGTCTGACGCACAAGAGTTTCATCCACAAAAGCCACTGTGGTATCGTACAAGTCAAAGCACTAGGTGAACTAGCACTGGTTACTTTGTGTACTTTATTTTCGAGTTCCATTTCCCCGCAGCTTTTTCCCTTCCGGATGTCCATATTTTTTCCGCCGCCGACATCCCAGCTCTGTCGTCTGTGTTCTCCGTCCGCAGCGACACTCACGCATTTCTATTCTACAAGAATGACAAATTCCCACATTCCTCGCAGCAGCAACAGGAATGCTCCAGAATATTTACGTTATTACGCAGGCGGGATTCCGCACACCCCATTTTCGGAATTCTGAAAATGTTCCTGCAAAATTTTCGCTTTATGAACCGTACGATAAATTTTTCGAAGATTAAATTTGAATTACAGAAGACCAAGTTTAATTCGATTCGAGCGAATTTCTCTAATTCCGGGGATCCTAACTGTTATAACCAAAACGAGAAAGAATTGAAGTATAACTACGAAATTTTGTTTACCAATAACCATTATATAAATGACAGAAATAGTTTTTGGTTGTGAATAATCATCACGGATAACCAGAGTTATAAATTGATTGCAAATAACCATTATCGACGAAAATTTTTGGTTACATTGTTATTTAATATTTTTATTTCTATTCTGGATTTTTAATACAAATTCAATGGAATTCAGTAATTTAATTGGTGTTATTTTGTAGGGTAAAGTCTTAACATTAATATGCAAGAAAAATTAGCTGCTACTAGGTGCTACTGCAGCAGTGGTTTTTCAAGGTATTGTTATAATTATTGACGCCACTTTACAACGCCGGAAATAAGTTTTTTTCAAAATTCATTTATATCCTATATTGAACATTTATTCTTCTATATGTAATATTCGTATTTTATAACTATATTATTATTTATAAATGTCAGTAAAAAAATAATTTTATTAAATGTTCCGTGTTAATAAGATAATACATAATTGTAAAATTAAAAAATTAGTTTATAATTGGTCGTTAATTTGTTCCGAATTAGTTATTAATTAATTTTCATTAGTTGCAAATCAGTTATTAATGGTGGTCAAACTGATTTTCGAACATCTATATTTAATTGTTGTATTCTATAATTACATTTTTATGTATAAATGTTGTTAGAAGATGAATTTTATTATTTACTCTGTGCTAATAAGATAACATAAGAAAAATCACATAAGTAATAAGACAAAGTAGGAGATCAGTATCAATATATTTTACCGCTATAGGGTGCTTTCTGCCTCAGTACGACGGATGAATGACGCCATTGAGTTGGGAAAAAAATGTTGAAGGATATAAACGAATGGTTTCAGGTCTATATTTGCGAGGACGTGTGTATAACCGAACAAAAGAGCAATTAAATGAGCTTGCTGATCCATACAATACAGAGAGAAATACTCGGTGAATAATAACAATTTAAAACAAGGGTTCGAAAAACCACACCGCGAATATTAAAACGTTAGCAGTGTCGTGCGTGCACACCGGTTAACTGACATAAATAACCTGACTGCAACGGATGTAATCATGCCATAGATAACAGTGACAGAGACATTAATTCGAAAACGACGCAAAACTATATATTTTTTAACGATATTTCGTATACATATATATTTGATTACGAGAAGTTTTTAAACGCGAAGTGGGACGTACCGATAAATTAAATTGTCCAAATTGGTGAACCAGATTGGACGTATAATGCATCGTACATCACAAAAGATTCCATTAACCTCCTAAGTAGGGCAAACATTCTTGCGAGTCATCTATCGACCAAGAATACTATTTCATTGAAACATGCATAAAGTGTTGGAAAATAAGAAAATATATTCTCTACCAACTCCGCTATATGTTTAACAAGATGAAAACAAATCGTACTAAAACTCGTCTAAGGATAGGGAATTCTAACTAATCAGTACCTACTTGCAAGAACTGATAAAATACTTTGTAACAACTGTAATACTGAGCTTATGATCAAATACCTTGTGTAATAGATTACCCATCGAACAACAATATCAGAAAATAAGTAAAAAATTACCAATATCATCATAGTATGTGTGGGCAGCTATACAAACACACAGTAGAAATGTCTCATTTAGAAAAAACCAAATTGTTTAGCGAAATTATGTATATAGTAACTTGGAAAACCTAGAATTAAGACGATAATGTCGATGCCAGAGTGTTAAATGTAGATAATCTAACGTAGAAACTGTTGTATACAATTACAACCACATGTAACCCCACAGTTATTAAAAAGAGCCACAATTGTTATTAAACAGATGCGACAATAAATGACTAAATAAAAACGATTTTTTAAAATAAAAGACAATCGTTCCGCAGGGTCTTCGATGTGTCAGTAATAAGATAATTGACCAGATTATTTTCTGAACATTAAAGGATAAATGTCAAGACAATTTGTTAAATAGATTGATCCATGATCCACGATCCGGAAACGGCGGACATGATGTGAAATGAAGAAGAAAAGCTGTCCACCAGCAGGCACAAACGAGCTTCCACAGTTCTCATTGAAAGTTTTCATTGCTTTGACGGCTGCTATAAACTCATAAAGTAGTAGACGTTTCTTTGAACGCCCTGTATATACCCGTAGAACTTTAATAACTGATATTCGTGGAAGCTGGTCTCTCCGTGCCGTAAAGCACGGCGTGTGAGTTTTTATTTTGTTCGCAATGTTCCTCGAACTACTCCAACACTTCTGTTTATCACTTCCCGCACTGCTTTATAGAATAAGGAGATAGTTTCATTTACGCCTGTACAATACTGGAAACTATGTTTAAAAAAAAAAACCGTCGGAAAGTTGTTCAAATTTGTTACGGAATTCCTTGTTCCTGGAGTCCTTATTTTTGAAGGAGCTACACGAGAGGTTTCGCGTCGCACGATCCTCCTTTGCATCACGTTTTCGTGTTGAAATCGAGAAACGGTGAACGATACAGTATCGTCGTTATAGATTCAAATGATAATGATTTTTATATTTCACTTTGCATTTAACGAGATGTACGGTGGCACACGAAATTCGAACTATTTTTAAACGATGTAATTTTTTACAAATTGAACCAAATGAATTTTTGTGAAATATTAGAGATACAATTTTAATTAGCTGAAATTATTAAAAATATAAAAATCATGCCTTTTCACTTTTATCTTGAGCCTGAAATGAAAACTTGAAGAATGTGTTTTCCAAACAAGTATATCGAGTTGTATCATTAAACTGTAAATCTTTACATAGAACGAAAAGATCTCAGACATTTATCAAGAATCGTGTTTAAGCTCTGAATTGTTAAACTAATTTCCAGCGGAAAACATTCTACCATTGTAATTGTGTTTAAAAGTTTGAAATGCGAAATCATTTCACTTTCCAAATGTGAAAAAGATGACAATGTTGAACACATAAATGTGCTCTTTAACGTGATCCCTAAAAAAACGATCGGCTTAATAAACGGTGACTTTGATATTTATGGTACCTTTAATTTTCGAGTTCAAACGAGTTAATTAAGAAAAGTTATTGGTACTTCGAAGCCTCGTATCAAAAGTATGTTACGATCTTTGTGGGCTGCACCGACTTCGTCGTGATATGTATAACAGACATCTATAAGAAGTAATGAACATCCAATGAATCATTTATTTTCTAGATTTCCCAAATCCATAATTTTTATTCAAATGTTCACTTTGCAAACAAACAAAGAAATATTAAATATGAAAACAAATTCCGGATTAAATTATCATTTCCGGATGACAGAGTATTCATACTGAATACTTAAAATGTGAGTTACGTATTCAAAATGGCTGAAACCAAAAACTGTATGCTGGAAACCAGAGTTGGAGAAACTTTTATTCGGATGACGGATAAGAGATAAAGATAATAAAATAAAATTGTATTTGACGCTTTCGTATAAATATGCAATCGAATCAAAATTGATTTAGATATAAATCTATCCGAATAAAATTTCATTCGAGTAACAATTCATTCGAATAAGAATTTATTCGTACAGGGATTCGTACGAAAAATGATCGATTTGAATAAAAATGACAGAATATAAAGTGATTTATCACAGTTTATCGACTTATTTCTTCCATACTCCTTTATACAATTACATATCTTCTTTGAAATGCTGCATAGGAATTATTATTATCATCGATAAATAATAATTCTTATAAAATTACGTAAAACAAACACATTCAACACAATTCCTATTATAATTCGAATAACTTTATAATCTTCATTCGAATAATGTATTCCAATAAAAAATTATTCAAATAAATAGATATAGATATTTATGACGAATAATGCTTAATTAATGACTAAAAAAATATTTATTCGGATAATTGTCTTACATAAATATTAATTCGAAACTCTGCTGGAAATAAAACCGAGATGCAGAAAGTAATTGCGATTTTCCGTAACCGTAATATTTGACATCCCCGAAACCATTTGAGCCGAATGCATTTTTACAGGAATTAATTATTTAGGACGCCGGCGGAAGTCGTCAAGGGAGAACTCAGTGAATCCAAAAATTCCTCATCATTCGAAGCGTTATGATTGGCGCTCGCGTGAACATTCTGTTACGCGTCGTTTCACGTGTAGTACAATTATAGGCACCGGGAGCAATCGATAGAGGACAAACGTTACAAAACACGATCATTTAATAACCCATTTAATGAAATTGTCGAGATCCATTTTTAACGAACCAGCAACTGCTTTCCGCTTACGTTCACAGAGGAGGCGTACATTTTATATCGGATACCGATCGAGTATTTGCGATATGTAGGAAATTTTATTTCGTTGTGTAACATTTCGCCGGAGAGAAATAACTCATGATAATGGCGCAAGGATGCCTCGTTCACAATGAAACGTGACACAACCAAAACACGGGCGAAAAAACTACTCCTGTAAATATCAGTTATCAGTTTTGTGGCAAAATAAACGTACAAGGTTTTCCGCAATAGGAAATGTTTCTACTTTAATGAATTTGCCACCGAACAAGAGAAAAATAATTCCTTTGTGTATTAATGTCAACGACTTTTTTTCTCGCTCTTTTTATCATGGTCAATAAAAGAAGATGTTTCTTTGTAGTCAAGTAACATGTACATGTAATGACACCCGTGTATATTCAAACAAATATTTTTGCTACAAACTTGGTTTCTTTCGTGTTTTTATCGATTGAAACCCAACATTTTCCTTGCGTCACGCTGATGCACATTTACGTTGTATTAGAAAGTACTTGTGGCTACAGCAACGAAATCTTTTCTTAAAAAATGCTGTACCATTGTGCAGGAGTCCTCCAAAACTTTGATACAATTTTAAGCACCATGCCTCTTATTTCTCAATTCTACACAATTGTCCAGTATATAT